GCTGGCTGGGCACGGGCAAGTAGCACAGAAACAGGAGGATAATAAGACTCGGACATAATGGCTGGAAATTGTTTGGAAAGGATGGGGATGGTCACATCAAACTCTAACATCAGACAAACAAAGGAATTGATCATTTTGTTAAGCTTCTGCATTCATGTTCCATCAGATGTCACTGCTGTTGTTTGCAGTGATATCTATCGGAAACTAGGCACAATCTGTTTTTCTATAATTGTTCACAGAGGACACTGCAGTGCAAACCATGTCTGGTACCTCTATATATGCATTTAGATTATTGTTCGAAGTCCCTCCTTTTTTACACATTCTGCACACCAAATAGCTCACCCCTCACATAATTTCCCGTCGAATTTTATGTATGGGGCGGGGCATAAAGTATCTTTTGCGCAGAATATGTAAAAAAGGAGGGTCTTCAAATGTTAAAGCAAATGCATGTATAGAGGTACCAGACATGTTTTGTAGTGTCAGGTACTCTATTTTGTAATCTGTGAAAGGGAAATCACAAATCGAGTGTCAACAAAATACATGGCATGTTGAGAGATTGAGCTCGTGAGAGAGAATTTCTCTCTCAAATTAGAATTTTTTTTGGCTCCCTGGGGACTGGTAGTAAAGCAGGTAAAATTGTATGTGGAAAAATCATTTTTATTTAATTGTAGCCTGTTGAGCATTAATTTCCGGGAAAAAACTGAACGACAAAGCCCCTGACTAATTTCTTTAGGTTGTCGTTCACTTTTTTTGACCTGAATATGCACCGGAGGCGAATTATTCGCACTTCTCTCAATTTATATATGGGGATTTTTATCACTTCCTACCAGCGGAACAGCGCCATCTCTGTGGAAAATGGTCAAACAAAATGATTAATTCGTAGATCACCTGCATGTAGGGAAGATCACGGGTTTCCAATACATCTCTTACTTCACGGAAGGGTTGTCTACCTCGATCCACTAGGGTATCCAATAGTCGTGCTCATTGGAGGTGTCATTACCCGGACAATGCCAAACTGCGTGATCGATGTCATCATAACTGGTTCTGCACCTACATATATTTCTGTCAACGAGGTGTATTATATAGAGATTTGCGTCTAGCGAGTAGTGGTTGGACATAAGTATTGACATCAAGCGAATGAATCCCCGACTTACATCCAGATCTTTGAACCACACTCTCGAAGAAACATTTGGAGTAATGGAATGTAACCACCGCCCAAGAGGATTACTTGTCCAATCGTTTTACCAACATAAAAGTGAACTCTGACGTACTGATGGTAAAAATTCATCATGTGAAATTCTTCTATCATAAATCTCGCCTTATTGTGCGCCCACTTTTGCGAAAGAGTCTGCCTTCTCATTGCCTAGAATTGAGCAATGTGAGGGGACCCATACAAAGGTAATTCTGTATGATCTTTCGACCAGCAAACTCATCTGCTTCCTTACCTTTGAAAGAAAATAAGATGCGTACCTACCTTGTTTCATCGACCGAATAGCCTCAATCGAACTGAGACTATCCGAAAAGATTAATTAATGGTCTGTGGGCATGTCGGAAATCATCCCCAATGCGAAGTTGATTGCTGCTAGCTCAGCAACATAAATTGAACAAGGTTCGTGAAGTTTCCGGAAGGCGGTTGAGTATTCTTTGAAGACACTGAAGCCAGTGGATCCATCAATGCGTGATCCATCAGTGAAACATCTTCTATTGCAATTGACTTGCTGGTACTTTTCAGCAAAAATACGGGGAATTGAGATAGGTCGAAGTTGATCTGGAACTCGTTAAATAGCCTGTTTCATGGAAAGATCATAGTCAATGCGGGAACTGTAGTTAGTAAAGCGTACACGAGGGGGGTTATAGCACGGAAGGCTAATATCCGATGACATATAATTAAGATTGATTCGCACGAATCTAGAATGAGTTCTTAAGTCGAGCATTGCTTCGAAGTTTTCAATCACTAGGATGTTACTGACACTACATTTGATCAAAGCTCCTAATGAGAGCTCCCAGAAACGGTTCTGCAGGGGTTTTACTCCCGGTAGAACCTCTAGGCTCATATTGTGTGTTGAGTGCATACAATCAAGGGCAATACGTAAACAACGATATCGAATACGTTCCAATTTGATTAGGAAGCTTTTTCTTGCTGAGAGGAAGGAAAAAGAGCCATACTCAAGAATTGATAGAATAGTCGTTTTATATAGTTTAATGAGGTCTTCCGAGTGAGCACCCCACCATGTCCCGGAAATTGATCGTAGAAAGTTGATCCTTTGTTGACACTTTTGTTTCAAATACGTAATGTGGGTACCCCAAGTGCATTTTGAAGCAAACCAGACTCCAAGGTTCTTGAAGGTCAAAGATTGGGTAATTTCTCTGAACAAAATATTTAAAGACAGTTGGGCTGGAAACCGCTTCCTTGTAAACACTACCAATTCAGTTTTTGCGGTGAAAACTCGATCCCCAAATTTCTGGCCCAGAAGGACAGATTATCTAGGGAATTTTGCAAATAGTCTTTGCAAGATTTCCGCACGTGGACCTCTCAGGGAAACCCATTTGGCTACGCCTATGCTAAGCAGTTATCAATATCTTTGACATAGAAATTATAAAGTAAGGGACTTGAACATGAACTTTGGGATAAGCCCATGTAAAGGGCGAACACGAAATTATTGCGACACATTCAACAGGGCATAACTTTTTTACCATTGGGTAAAAATCAACCAAATTTTGCACACTTTCTCATTGATGTGTATTGTGTACATGCTGTCAAACTCGAAGTCGTGTTTTTCGATTCAACGAAAATGGAGGTGAACCAACGCGAGTTGAGAGAACAAATTCTTTCCAAACACCTGGAATTTCCTGACCTGTCGCACCGGCAGTTGGGAAAAATGTTGAACATTCACCATTCAACCGTCTCCAGAGTGTTGAAGCGGTTCCAGGAGCGGTTGACGTTGGACCACGGCAAAGGAGCTGGAAGAAAACCGGGACCGGAGAACAAAAACACGGAGGGAAAGGTGAAGCGGATGATTAAAGCAAATCCCAACGTCTCAAGCCGTAATTTGGCTAAAAAGATCGGCATGTCGCAGAGCTACGTCCAGAATGCAAAGAAGAGAGCTGGACTACATACATACAAGGTACAGAACTTCCCAAACCGCGATGAGCGGCAACAATCGACGGCTAAAACTCGGGCACGGAAGCTCTACGAGAAGATGCTGACAAAATATGGCTGCTGTGTGATTGACGACGAAACGTATATAAAAGCTGATTTTAAGCAAATTCCGGGGTTGGAGTTTTTCACCGGCAAGAGCAAGTTCGATGTGGACGACAAATTTAAGAAGAAGAAAATGTCGAAGTTCGCCTCCAAATATCTCATTTGGCAGGCCATCTGCTCTTGCGGACTGAGGAGTGAGCCTTTCGTGACAAAGGGCACAGTAAATGGCGAGATCTACAAATCTGAGTGCCTCGAGAAGCGCCTTTTGCCGTTTTTGCAGCAGCACGACGAAGCTCCGCTATTTTGGCCAGATTTGGCATCATGCCACTATTCTAAAGGTGTCCTGGAGTGGTATGAGGCCAATTCTGTCCATTTTGTTCCAAACGACATGAATCCGCCAAACTGTCCGGAGCTGCGCCCGGTGGAGCAGTACTGGGCAATAATGAAGCGGGAACTTCGGAAGAGCAAGAAGACAGTCAAAGACGAGAGGAACATGTTAAGAAAATGGAAAAAAAAACTGAGAAACTGGTACCGGATGACACTGTAAAGACTTTGATGGAGGGCATCAAGCGAAAATGCGTTCAATTTTACACTCAAGGCTCCATCGATTAACTTTTCTTTTGATTTTTGAAGTAAATATATGTATAAAACTACCCTAAAATTTTGGTTTGATTCTGAACATTATAAGAAAATTGGCATGACATTTTCGGTGTCGCAATAATTTCGTGTTCGCCTTTAGCTAATTCTAGAAGTTGTCAGTTGACCTAGATTGAAGGCCATTTGATTTTTTGACAGCAAATTATACTATAAATTATTTAAAATACCGGGTAATCCACTACTGTGCAGACTGTCTGACAGTATGTCTATGGAAACTGAATCATATGTGCCCTTAAGATCCAAAAAGACAAAAGCTAATTACTCCTTGTGTTACTTTACTCTTTCGGAAAACAAATTGCGTATTTGAAAGCAGGTTCTTTGATTCTGGTCAAGTCTTGATAAGAACATGTTTTCTAATAATTTCCTCAGGCATGATAACATAGAGATCGGACGGTAAGAATTGTGATCAGACGCTGGTTTCCCAGGCTGTTGAATATCTATTACTTTAAACTGTCTCAATGTTGGTGGAACTGTATTGAGTTCCATAAATTATTGAATACAATAATTTATATACAAATCCACGATACTCTGGAAAATTTGATTCAATATTAATTAAAGCAATTCCTTTGCACGTGTTCACTAACAATTGACACAGAAGCTACTGAATAGAGTGAGCGATGAGAAATTTTCACAAATTTACATATTCATTGCTCAATATGAATACCATTAATAACCCCGCAGACTCTCTTTCCAATGCATATTTTCCAGTCACATCGAAAAGTACTGCAAGCAGAAAAGAATAGTTAAGTAAATATATGAATGCTAATTTGGTGAATGGGATGAGTTTATCCCAAAGGTCGTCCAGGAATTCCCGAACGAGATCAATAAATATTGAAAACGATTACAAGAACTAGATTCCACCAGCTCCAGAAACTGCACTAAAGCCTCATGGGCAACTAAATACAATTTCGCAAAAGAAAACAAAATCCAACCAATTGACACATTGACCACCTCATCCGTAAGCCGTTGATTTCCGAGGCGACATTCGCACCTCCATCCGAAACCCCAACACCACTGCCCAAAAGGCTGCAAACAGTCAGTGTCACCGATTAGCACCACACTAAGTGAATCAAGTGACCACCAAGCCTGCTCGCATAGCGCAAAAATAACGAAACCCCCTAATGAATGTTTACATTTGCAGATTGATACCCATCGGCCGTGATCGGGACTTGCACCACCACCACCACCACCATCAATAGTCATCGCAGTTGGTGATACCGATCGCGTTGGCGGACGACACAAATTGCTACCACCATTGGAAGAGCGCGGAAGTTTGTCTCGTCGTCTGCACCTCCACATATTTGCTGTTCGTTGCAAATCAGCCCGAATGTGGTGAGAAGAGGCTCAATATGAATTTTAAATCCGCTGAACGCCAGCTTTGAACGACACACCGGTTCAGGATTGTGCTTGCTGGCGGGGAAGTGCGTGCAAGTGGGTGCTGCTGTGTGTTATCTTCGAGTTGTGTTTTCCGGATCGTGCAAGGATAGTAGTGAAAAGACCGCCCCGAAGGTTAAGGACGGTATCTAGAATATTGATAGCGCTCGGATTGTGCAAAGTAGTGTGAAGAGGCAACGAACTTCCGACAAGCGTGGCAGAATAGAGTTTGCGGAAGTGATATATTTTCAAAACGGTATATTATAGTTTTTAAAAAAGTGGATCAAGATGGTGCTAAATCCAGTGAAGCAGTTCATCAAAGCGGCTGGTGAGTAGGATTATGATTGAGACCAAATAAATATGTTCAAGGGAGCACTGAATAAACTATTTTAGCAGCAGAACTGCATCTACAGGGAAAAGTTAGTTGACTCACAACAAAGTATATATTAAAATAAATTAAATATTGTGTTACAAACGGTAACTTAACTAAATTTAAATTAGAACATCAAAACACATTCATCCCAAACAGTGCACAGTGGGATTTTTTTTTTTTACAAAAAGGTATTTAATTCAATATCTCAAAATGACGATCGTCCTTCATAATCTTATGTATCAAATTAAAAATAATTTAAAAAATAATCAAATTAAAAATAATTTTATAATAATTTAATCATAAATATTAGCCATTTAATGGTAACAAGGGGTCTTCGTGGACAAAACCCACTGAAATCCTAACCTCCCGTATTTTTACTAGAATTAAACCTCTTTCATTCAGCAAAAAGAGGTTATCTTCCTTTTAATTCCACTTAATTATTTTGGTATCCATGACAGATTCGTATTTCGACTACAATGTGCAGTCTTCATCATTGTCATTCCCACTATAGACTTATCAAGTCTTTAGTGGGAATGACACTGATTAAGACTGCACATTGTAGTCGAAATACGTATCTGCCATGGATACCAAAATTAATTAAGTGGAATTAAATGGAAGATAACTTTTTTTTGCTGTTTTATTTAAGCATTCCGCTAACAACCCCAATTTCATTACTTCACTCTTTCATTCCATTCCTCGAGGTTTTTTTTCGTTTAGAAATAATATGATTTATTCAATTTGTATCTAGAAACCCAACCAAATGTACTATTTTTATTGTTTTTACTGTAAATGGTAGTGCTGAACCTTAAGAATTTTAAGTCCTATTTTCAATTTGATACATACAATTATGACAATTATAGGACAATCTAAGCTTTGAAATGAAACTGGTTTTATTAAAATCGATTGACATTTCACTTAGTAATCGACTATAACTCAATTTTAGGCATTAAAAAATAGGTTATAATTCCTTATTTTGCCCTCAAACTACCCGAAAATGATTCGTGCCGTGCACCATGTCCTAAGTATTTGATTTCTAGTAAAAAAATCTAACTTTTGAAGCATAAATATCCCATTATATCCAGCGGAATTTTAAGAAATTGAATTAAATGCGTTTTTTTTTTTTTTAAATCCCATTGTGCAGTACTGTAAATTCTCCAAATCAATTCTATGCAGAGCTGGAAAAGGGCCCATCTGCTTTGATCGATTCTCTATATTCTCATGGCTATGCAAACAGTTTTCGTGCTATTTCCGACACATAGCATGATAAAGATAGTTTTTATCTATCCTCCAAATCGTCAAATACAACAGGGAATGTTGTTGCAGCTGAGTTATTAACGAAAGAGAAAGTCGATGAAGAGAATCGATCAAAGCAAGCACCTTTTCCAGCTCTGTATAGAATTGAACATTTTTGATGAATATCAGAAAAGCAGTTATCCGCTATAAAAGGGACCTCCTTCGAATGGGTGATATTAGTTTGCTTAGTCATTTGACGAAGGCATTGATCATTCTCATTTGAGAAACCCTTGATATCATTCAATTGAGTGAAACCTACACACAAACGGAGCTCTGGTCGGCATTCCGGCGAAAAAGCTAAGCCAACCCGACATGAACACAAAAGTGCTCCAACATCAACCCGACACTGGGTAGACATCGACCATACATTGATCTGACATCTGGTGGGCATGTCTGATCGGGACCTTTATGTTTTGCAGGGTTTCTTCCATACTCCACTGTCGTATATCAAATGATAGTGAGTAACTCTATGGACAGTGATGATGAGGTTCGATTGAGTAAGGGACTCTTCAAATTATGGGCATGACTCCTCATACCGTTACTATAAACAAAACCAAATCTCTATAAAAACTGAGTAAAACAGTCCGTTGGACCATCCTGCATCTCTGGGAAAAAAAATTAAAAAAATCGTCGCACAAATTTTTGAGTTAGGCCCTTTTAAAGTTCTAAGGACATAGATGTCAAGAAACGTAATGAAAACCTTTTACAAATGAGCAGTTGCACGCCAAATGGGGAATCGGAAAAACTCGACCTTCTCATAGAACTTTCCACAGTTGTTTGTTATGGGCATTCACATTGTAAAAATTCAGCCATTTTAGATCTAGTTTTTGATACTGATACACTAGTTTTTCAATAAGGCGTCTATATCATTTTTCAATAAATTGTAGCTCAAAAACATCACATCTGATCAAAATGACGTCTGGGACAAAGTTGTAGAGAAAAATAAAGTTTTTCTAGAAAAAAATATAGACGGATTTTCTTTTTACTAATTTTGAGATAAAATTTAAAAAAGCGTTGAAATCTCCAATATCTTAAAAACTATATCTTCAACTTTTAAATTCTTAAAATATGCAAACTTTTGGAATATTAAAAACCATATATTGGAAAATTGGCAAAAATCGTAGAACAAGAACTTTTTGTCCAATTTTTTAACTTTTTTCCAGTACGCTTTTTACATAATTTCTACAAAGGAAACCTTTTTAGTAACATTCCTCATCGTTTGCTGTGCAAGTAAGTAAGAAGTTTAAAATATGACCAAAACTTGTTGTTCTTCGATTTTTGTTAGTTTAAATGGCCATGGTTTTAAACATTCCAAAAGTTTGCATTTTTCAAGAACTTTTTTTTTAATATGAATATTGAGCTGCAATCTAATGTAAATTTAAGATATTTGAGATTTTAACACTGTTTAATATTTTTTACTCTAAATTTATAATGAAAAAAAATCCAACTTATTTTTCCCAGAAAGACTTAACTTTTCTCAAACAATATGTCTCAGACTTCAATTCGATTAGAATTGACAGTTTCGTGCTATTATTTATGGAAAAAATGTCAAAGACGCCATTTTGAAAAAAAATGGCAGAATTTTTGAAAAAAAATAATGATTTCCCATAGCAAACAATTCGACAGTGAGCATGCATAAGGGCGAATACGCGATGATCGATTCTCACTGTCGAATTAAACAAAGGTTCATGCAAATCGATGAAGGTCCAGTCTAATCGATTTATCAATTGACGTGGAACAACTCTATTGTGAGATGAAATATTTGAGAGATACCGCACGTTGAAAAAAAAATCTTAATTTAGATTGAAATAAGCAGACATTCATAATCTCAGAGTAGAAACTATGGTAAAGATTTTGGAAAATGGGATTTAATCAAGTGGTAAGTCACTCAGCTCAGATTCGGCACAGCTTGGGCACATCCATCGGCACACCTTCGGCACAATCTCGTAAGCATTGGATTGTTCATTAAACAAAATGGGGGCACAGCTGGACAGCTGACATTGAAGCTGTTCACAACATTACGTTACTGTGTATTTCAGAAACATACTCTAATTGAATATAAAGGGTGTAACGTTTAAAATCCGTACACACTCAAATTGCTCTAACTTTTGATCCGTTGGGCAGACGTTGGGTAGGCGTAGACATAGTTTAATGTGTATTGTTTACACTCTGTGAGTTGATTTCATCAGGTGCGCAAAAGTTTTCAAAATGGCGACGAAATAACAGTGCGTGCGTGAAGAAGTTTTGCACGAGTACTTTGAGAATAAGAATCTGTCGCATCGTGCCATCGGAAAAAGTTGGGAATCACGAATTCCATGGTGTCTGGTATCATAAAACGGTTTGAAGAACGTCTGACTGTTGATCGGAAGCGACGATTCGGAAGAAAAAGCCGTCAGGTCAACGAGAACGATCACAACCGGTTATTTGGGTCTTTAAACGGAAACCGAACGCCTCAGTTCAAAATGTGCCTAAAAAGTTGCATGTAAGCAAGACTTTCGTGAAGAATACCAAAACTCGAACTGGACTACGTACGTTTAAGGTTCAGAAGTCCCCAAACCGTGACGAGAAACAGAATGCGTAATGGATGACGAGGCATATGTGAAGGTGAACTTCAACCAGATTCCAGGAAACCTGTATGTGACTGCCCAGGATGAGTGTGATGTTCCCGAGAACCTCCGGACACAGAAGATGTTGAAGCTCGCCAAGAAGTTCTTAATTTGGCAAGCGATTTGTACTTGCGGAAAGCGGAGTAAACCATTCGTTACCGCAAGTACCATTAATGGACAGGTGTATTGGGAAGAGTGTCTCCAAAAGCGTTTTCTCCCTCTCCTGAAGGCTCACGCCGGTCCGACGATGTTCTGGCCGAATTTGGCATTATGCCACTACACGAAAGACGTGGTATAAGGCGAATGATGTCGATTTCGTGCAAATGATTTTGAAGTCGTGCAGAGCCTTATGACTGGAGATTAGGGTGCTTCATTCTGAAAAAAGTGATGAATTTCTGATGGGCCACCCTCCAGTTCGATTCATAGCCCCAAAATATGAACCTGTGCAAAAATTGGTAAAGATTGATGAAGGTTTAGAGGTCGCGCCAATGATTTGAAATTTGTATGGGAATTACTATGGAAGAATTTAAAAAATCGCTTATATCGCTATAACTTTGCTTCTACTTGTCCAAATGTCGAAAAAATTTAGTATGTTATTGCTATGGCAATAAACAAAAAGCCTACAGTTGCTACGCTCAGTTTTGCAGCGTATCAAGAATTATAAAAATGTGAAAAAATGGCAAAATAGGGTAAATTGACAGATGAATATGTACAAGGCAGCAACGCCAATTTCATCGCAACAACAACAGGCTTGTTGATCATTGTCATGACAACCACATATTTTTTTTTTTCAACGTTTGGACAACTACAACCAAAGTTAGAGCAATGTAAACGAAAATCAATAATTTCCCATACTAATTCACCAAAATCTCCATACAAAATCCAAATCATTGGCGCGACCTCTAAACCTTCATCAATCTTTACCATTTTTTGCACAGGTTCATATTTTGGGGCTATGAATCGAACTGGAGGGTGGCCTATCAAAAATTCATCACTTTTTTCAAAATGAAACACCCTACTGGAGATAAAGCCATGGTTCGCGCATTCGGATATAAA